AATTTAAATTATATTAATTTATAAAATGGAGATTCTTGAGTAAAAGACCACAATTTCTATACTGCAAAACAAGGAATCTTGTAACAAATGCGAAGATATCATACCTTGATCTTGAGTTGAGGACCCGAGGTAATCCTTTACAGGGTTTTAACTTGTAAATCCTTTTACAGTTAAATTAAGGAAATTGTAACGTTTGACGAATATGAAGAGTTCTGTTGTTTAATACCTATATAGTTTTTTTAATTTGTGTTTTAAAAATACATTTATTATATTTTTTTATTAGTAATTTATGTAAAAATAAATTTTATTCTTGATACTAACACAAAACAATTTAATTAAATGATTAATTATCAAGGTAAAGTTAATATTTATTTTTTTATTATAAATTAATACTAACAAGATATAATAATTATACTCTTAATATGTATCCTAAAAGAGTTTCAAACCATATTACCAACAATTCTTTAAAAGGAGCTCGGCGGAGTTAGGATTACTAGCTTAAAATAACTGATTCAAAGTTAAAGACTTAAAGTTATGTGTCTAAATTTTTACAAATGCTAGTTGGATTCGAGTTTTTTATAATCCAATCATAAGATTGCAAATTGTAATTCGTAAACAAATAGTTCTGTTGTGTATTATTTTTTGGTAATTAGTTATTCTAAGCAATGTTATTGCATTTAAATATTGCCCATACAGCAGGAAGGAAATGACCCCTTAAATTTTTTTGGGTAAAAAATGACCAACTTATACAAAAGTACAGTGATTAGTATACCCTTCGGTTAAACACTTGATTCAATATTTTTTAGTTTAGTCATTAAAAAATTATTATTTTTTAATTTGAAATTAAAAACAAATAAGTATAATGATATAATTTTACACACATGATACAAGAATTAATTGAATTGACTGTATTTATATTATATTTTTAATGATTAAACTAAAAAGTGTTGAATCGAATATTGAACCAAAAGGTTTATCAATCAATTTCCTATACAAAAATGTAAAAGAATTTTAAACAAGAAAATGCATGTTTCATGAAGAACTTAAATGCTATAGTTTCAAATATATT